AGTATAGGAAACAAGAGATTTCGATAGTAAAACACAATAATAGGTCAATTATCTTTAATTTTGCATTAGAGTTTATTTAATTTCTCAATTAAATCTTAAAATTAGGGTTTATGGTCAAAATTTTGAATTAAGGGCTTTACGAAATTGGGGGATTTGGGGCAATTGAAGTGTATAATCCAATCAAGGATTAATGTAGTGCAATATTATCATTTAATTTGAGTTTTTTGAGGGAAATTTTATAAAATATGCCCCAAAAATGGAAATTCTTGTCGGAAACAATAAATGTGGTAGTGCTACTCAAAGTTTTTGTGTTTTTGTGGTAGTTTTTTTCAAAAAGAAAATTTTAAATGGTAGTTGTTCTCAAAAGTGGTAATTTAAATGGTAGTTATTCGCAAAATTTCCTTTTTAATACTTGTAAATTTTAATTATAATAATGACTAAAGTTAAATTATGAGATTGAAATCGTGAATAAAGAGAAGGAGATAGAAATTAGAGAAAAAAAAATAGTTATGATTCTTATGAATGACTCTTGCGAAAGCTGTGACATGGTCATTGTCGCCTAATGTACACTTACCTCTACTTTAGGGAAGAAACTCAACAAATAAACTTCAACAAGAATAAGATTGGGGTACATAACAAAAGAAAATACAAACACATAAAAAAAAAGCTTACCAATTGCGTCCAACAACTTCCTTAGAAGAGTAGCCAGTCATAGTGAAGAATCCACTACTAGCATACATTATAGGACATTCAGGTTTAGTAGCATCTGAAACCACAAAAGTCTGCTGCAAATTAGCTAATGCATCCTTCAACTCTTGTGAGACTCTAGGAAGATGTTCTGATGTGTTAGAATTATTTGATTCCTCTGACATCCTCCTTGACTCCTTCTCGTACGAGTTTTTGCCTTGATTATTGTCCCCTGACATTCGAATCACGACATTCGAGGTTGATGGGGCTGATTCTTCCCCGTTTGCTGGTACCACTGCTAGCCCCCATTCTGCTGCCCTCTCAGCCATACCGGCTTCATCATTCACTATCTCGGTATTTTTTGACACCTTATTAGAGGTCTTGTTTGCTTCAAATGCCATCCACTTACTAGAAGTCATAGCATTGCTACTTGATGCCTCCATTTTATCTATTAATTGAACATATATAGCTATACTCGAATATGATCGTATTCCCCTGCCTGAAATAGAAAAATTCTTGTAAGGCTTCACTATTTCCGAGCCCTTGTTTGGACATTTATTTAGAAACGAAGAAAATCTTTACTTATTCTGTAATACGAATAATACTCCCCCAATTCCTCGTTCTAGTACGAACATAATACATAACATAAGAAATTGACACGAATATGTTTTTTTATATGGGGATCGGGTACGTGAGTATAGCTAGATTAATGGTATCCATAGTTGGAAGAAGATAACATGAGGCATTCCTTAGCAAATCAGGAACTAACTACATACAGTAATAACTATAACTAGTATAAAAAGCATAAAGTTAAAGTTTCTATATAAAGGTAAATTCATTGATGATTGACAAACTTTCCAAATGTAAAAGTTATCTTAGCCTTAGTGCCTAAAAAGTAAAAATGGTCCACTTTCTTGGCTATATTGAGTTTTGATCTTTTTTATGTTCAAATTCTTGGTAATTAGAATCATTATGTAGAACACTATGAATTTTATTTATAAAAATCTCATCTATTAAATTTTCCAAAGGATGGAGAATTTCCTACGGCCCCGATCCATCACCAGAGTCAATTCGTACACTCAATTTTAAGTAAAAAAGGGGAAGGGGAGCGCCCCTACGCGAGACTTATTGAAAAGGCCCCATGAGAGTAGTCTCATAGGTCTGACCAGGGGCTCGTCCCTATGATACGTTCATTCAATCAACAACTTTTAGTTCTATTTTCAGAAATCAAATCAAAATTAAAGTGAACACATGACCAAAAACAAACTTAATTATGTTTCGTAATAAGATTCGTGATAATATATAAATATAATATATCTGCGCATATAATAATAATAAACACTTAGCCAAATGATGTTCTAATTTGCGATACCATCATCATCATCTTCTAACTAAACACTCGGTAATTAAGCTATTGAGCGTGGCCACTTGGCAATTATCCATTGAAGCGTTTCAAATTACGAGAGATAAGTAAAGAAAAGAGTACCTGGAATGAGGAGAGGAGAGCAAATGAAGTGCTATTCACATGAGAAAGCAAACGTGTGTGTGTGAGCAGTAGTAGCAAAGGCTAAGCTTTTACTAGTAACAAAGATGATATGATAATTATTTTTATTTTTTACAAAAATGAAAAGAAAAAAAAGAAGATATGATAATGTTAGTTGGACCCCTTTTTTTTGTGTTTGAAAATAAATAGCAACCTAACATTGATTTGTCGATAAATCATAACCATCAATTTCTTATATTTTTGGTACGGATTTACGTGGAGGCCGTCCATAACATTATTTCTTTCTTCCCTCTTTTAATTCTTTTGTTTTCTTCGTTTTCAATAATTAATGCTAAAAATGTGACTCTTTTTTGTTATTATGGACTTGTCTGAATATCTTTATTGTTGCCTAAAAAAAATCTGTATGTTAGTTTTAATAATGAAGTTAAATTAATGAGATTACAAGTATATGACTATATGGTTAGAATTTAATCTCTGCAATTAATGTACTTATTCATTGGTATGTACTCGTACTATATATATACCGGAGTATATATAGAGATAGAGAGAAATACACAGATATACGAGATTTACAGTCGTGTATATATGTATGGGTAATTATAAAATAAAAAATAATTATATGAATAGGGATCGGAGTACTATACTCAATGCGGGAATTTTTTTTTTTAAAAAAAAACAGAAATAAAATGTGCCAAAGCCACTCCTACAATGTCTTCATACGTCATAACTCAATAGGAGAAAATTGAATCAACTCACTGCTTTGGAATGACTTATATGAGAAAATTCTCTAATGTCTCCTTTCCTAGTCTTATCCTAACAACCTTAAAAAAAAAAAAAAAAAAAAATCAAGCTCTCATGTTTTAATTTTATCTTACTATTGCAACAAATTTTACCTATTTAAGATTTAAACTTTTCATATTTATTATTGTTCATATGATCATAGTTTGAAAACTTAAATTAGTAAAGCCAAAATACTTAAATATCTACCTAAAAGCCAAACCCCTGAAAGTCTTATAATCCGTACTAATTGGCTTAGCTTGCTCAATAAATTAGATATTAAAATGTTTTTTTTTTTTTTCGAAAGGGAGATATTAAAATGTTTTTGCAAAAGTTTGACTGATTATCACAACTAATATAAAGTTTTGCACCTAAAATAAATTTGGAACTATAGTTAAAAAAATTGTGCGTTTTTAATGGATCCACATATAATGTTAGATTATTCTAGGCACTTGAAACTTGGGACCATTCACAATTAAGTCAGGGTTCAAATATAATTTATCTATTTTCTTTGTTAATAAATTATTCTCTTTCTTTTCAAAAATGTATTGCAACATGGACATTTTTTTTAAGTAAAAGTTGATAAGGAACCATAAAAAGTTAAAAACATATTAGTTGGAAATTTACAGTGTACTCGTTGAAGAGAATACTAACAATAAGAAGGATGGTTATTTATCCATCTAAATTAATTATCATTTATATTATAAACATAAAAATAAATATATATAATTGATAATCAAAAAGTTTATATACATTAATAGCAACCCGGTGCAACGCCCGAACTACACACTAGTTTATTTATGAAACAGAAAAAATACATAAAAGTTATAATTTGATTAACCGAAAGTTAAAATAAAAAATAGGACCACCTGTTTTTTTTTTTAATCGGATAGGGAAAAAGAGAGAGAAAATGAAAGCGAAAGGATAACATGGATGAGAAAAACAAGGGAAATATGGGGCTACAAAATTTCTGTTGATTGCTATTACAAGATAAATAAATCTCCCCACATTTTGGTATTGTATGTACTATCATTCACCTCTGATCTCTTAATATATCTCTTTTACTTGGAGTATAATTTACTTGAGTGTATCAGTACATGACAGTAGTGACCGACTGACTGATGATTTTGCTTCATTTATTATTTCCAGAATTCCAGTAATTTTTTTGATAGGGTATGACATTGTTATGTTGTGTTGTACGTTAGTACGAAATACGTCATGAGGTTATGTTTATTAGTCCTGCAACTCAAATACGTAATACTTTATTCGTTCCTTAAAGTTTGCTTCACTTGTTTTCAAGATCATTTTTCTAAGTTTGCTGTACAACACTTGTGAATGACTGACTATAAGGTTTCACTAGTTACACTTTGATTCGTTGATCGTATAAAATAAGCTTAAAAGTAATGTAATATTTGCGATGAGTTTGTGACTACTGATTAAATGATTATTGAGTAATTTTGTGATAGGCCAATACGACAATTTAATTCAAATGTTTATTTATATATCATCGTTGTTTTTGTTTGTCTTATGCCCCAAATAATATCAACCTTGGTACAAAGCTAATAACTATTATTGGTAATATACAACTGATTGATTGATTAAATGGATGTTACACACCAAGAATAATTTGTACCACACATTATATTCTTAAATGAAAAATTTATGCATGGAAATAGTATTTTTTTCATTTGGGAAGCTAGCACCACAAGTTAATTGCTATATCCATAAATGCATGCATCTTCCTATCTAATCAAGATTTTTGTGTTCAACTATATTGTGGCACTTGCAAAGTTGTAGGGTATGTTTGTAGTGTTTTGAGGGGAAACTACATGTTTTAACTGTATGTTAATGCAGTACAAGATTTGCCTTTCAGAGATGCATATTATCAGTGCATCACTGTAACAAATTAAACTTTTGTACCAAAAATTCGTAGTGACGCAACAAGTCCCTTGAGATTGTGAGAGTGATATGCATATGAAGGAGATACATGGACAATTTCAGTTCATTTGTTTCGTTATATGAAACATTTATATTACAGGCTTATAGCGGCGAAATCAAGGAAAAATACAGTAGTACTAGTATGTGACTATGTGAGAGATAAAGAGCCAAATTTTGTTGAGAAAATAGAACACATGTAGTTTTGTTGTACAAGGAGCCAAACTTAGTAGGAAAAAAAAATACAATAATAAGGTAATATAGCATAAAGTGACATTTTTTCTAAGGTTATATGAAATTTGATCAAAATCACTATGTCTAAGTGCTCTCAGCAAGTACACATTTTTTAGGGTATTGCTAACTTACTGAAGATGGCCCTGCATTATGAGTGATTTTACAGTGTCATCAAACATCTCTTCCAGTGGCTTGAACTTGAACCCTAAACTCTCAATCTTGGAAGTGTTGTAAGTGTAATCTGGCCTATCAAGCTTTGTGAACCTGAAAACACAACACATGCAATAAATGTTTTGACATGAGACGAGCCGGATCGGATTTGGACCCAAGAGCACCTACTAGCCCTGGTGCTCCCATGATTCATGGACTAGTATTACTTCGTTATACATCTAATTGACACATCATATCATTTACATAGTACGAAAATCAGTAACGAATTGTTAACAAAAAGCTATACAATTATACCATAATATATCTCTCTCATTGTTATGTACTCAAATTAAGTAGATTGAACCTGCCTTCATGCTATCCTTCAATAAAATAGTTAAAGATGAAGTAATTTACCCTTTTGAAATAGGGTAAGACGGATATTGAGATGCTAGAAACGATGCTAATTCGTAAGGTTCCGTAAAAGTGGAGCAACAAAGGTATCGACCTTGTGCTTCTTGATGCTCAAAAACCAAGATGTGGCACAGAGCTATGTCGTCAATGTGAACATATCCCAAGCTTCCGCTATTCTCGAACTTGCTTGTTTCTCCTGTAAGTTATTTGAATAATTAGGAGCAAATATGATGATAACTCTCTAGTAATGTACAATCTTCTGTAATTCGACTATGTAAGACATTCCCACATTATAAAATGAGTATAGGATATATAACACACAAACTTTAACCAAATACCTTTAAACCAGCCAAGAATATCAGAGGCAGTAGAGCAAAGATTAGGAGGAAGACTAGGTCCAATTATAAAAGCAGGAAGGATAGTCACTAAATCGATGTGGTTCTCCTTGCAGAAGTTCCATGCTGCTTTCTCTGCCTCAATTTTTGACAGTGCATACCATACCTATATTCATGTGACGAACCTATGCACAGTTATTAATTTGCAAACTGAACATATTTCAGTGGTAGATTTTACAGCATGAGAATATGAGATACATTATGACAGCACCTGGAATTGTTCACAAAGTTCAGTGGAGCTCCAAACTGATTCATCAAGTGGAACATTAGGGTCAATATCCTCTCTTACTCTAACAGCTGAAGAAGATGAGGTAAGAACCACACGTCTTAGTGATGGGTTCTTCTTGCAAGACCGAAGCACGTTCAATGTTCCCTTTATTGCAGGTTCCAATATTTTGGCCTGAAAATTTTACAAGAATTGTTTCCAGTAGATAATTAGTCCTAATACTACATAATGAGATATATTTTAAATGTAAATTTGCTGGCATAATTGATGGCATACTCCCATAAGTCATATAACAAGTGTATGTTTAAACAATATAATCAACAAGTAACAATAATATACAAGTGTAATAGTTGTATGACAAAACAATGTAATATTATTGTGGAGTAGATGAGTATTCAGTATAGTATTCACCTTTGCGTCTTGCTCCCTGGATCCTGAAACAGGGGAAGCAGTGTGAAATACACCTTCACAACCTCTAACTGCTTCATCAAAGCTTCCGTCTTCCGTTAAATCGGCCTTTACTAATTTCAGCCTCTCTTTCGCCCCATCAAGCCTCCACAAATGCTCCACCTTTTTCTTATCACCTATTATTTCACATATTAATTAACACTACTAGAGCTCCATAATCATTATATCAACAGATGCAGAAGTATATAGATACATTATAAGAAAATACTGCCCCCGTTTCATATTATTTGCAACATTTGATAAAAATAGGAGTTTCATATTACAGCAAATGTTTTCTTTCCTTTTTGAGTTGTCATTTCTCTCTATACTCTCCTCATCTGTGCAACCCACCAAAGTTGCAAATAATAAGAAACAAAGGTAGTATTATCCTTAGTCCTTTCGAATCATCTAATACTAATTTAGCACTTTTAAAAGTGTTGTATTTTAGTAGGAAGGGAAGAAAATTGGATGAACCTGGGTCTCTGACTGTTCCAGTGACAAAATAGCCAGACAAAAGGAGGCGCTTGACCAGCCAAGAAGCTAGATACCCTGAGGCCCCTGTCACACAAACCTTGCCTTTGATCTGAGGCTTTTCCTGCTCCATCTTTTGTGTCGAAAATTACGATGCTATTTTTAGAATTACCAAATCAAAAGGCATCACATGACCAAAAACAAACCACTAATTATTCACAATTATGTTTCGTAACAAGACTGGTAACAATGTAGCATACATGCGCATGATTATAATAACATAAACTTAACCAGATGGTGTTTTAAGTTGCAATATCATCATTTTCAAATTAATTACTTGGTTTAAGCTTTAAGCTCACCCACTTGGCAATTATTCATTATTGAAGCATTTCAAATTACGGGAGATAAGAATAGAATAGAGTACCTGGAAGGAGGACAGGAGAGCAAATGATGTGCTGCAATTCACATGAGAAAGCAAACGTGTGCGTGCAGTAGTAGCGAAGGCTAAGCTTGTAGTAACACAAATGATATGATGGTTAATTTTACAAAAAAGAGAAAAATACTCATTGATTGATTAATTGGATGTTACATACACATCAAGAATAATTTGTACCACACATTACATGGTTAAATGAAAAAAACGTGCATGGGAATTTCTTTTGAGAAACTAGCACAACTTAATTGCAATATCCATTAATGCATGCATCTTCCAATCTGATCAAGATGTTGTGTTCAACAACTTAATGGCACTTGCAAGTTGCGAAGTTGTAGGGTATGTTTGTGGTGTTCAGAGGGAAAACTCCATGTTTCAACTGTTCATCCTGGACAAGTTTTATCTTTCAGAACTCCATGTTTTAACTGTTAATGCAGCACAACTACAAACTTTTCTACGGAGTACCAAAAATTTTGAAGCAAAGCAACAAGACCCTTGAGATCGTGAAAGTGATGCATATCTAGGAGATAAACAGGACAATGTCAGCTCATTGTTTCATTATATGAAACCTTTATATTACAGGCTCCCCCCTACGAATTTGATCGAAAAATACATCACTAACTAGTATGTGACAAGGAGTCAAGCTATATCGAAAAAAAAGTTCATATATAGTTTTGTTGTTTTCTGAAATTCGAATGTAACATAAGTTGATTTTGTTTTTAAGGTAATACGGAATTTGATCAAAAGCACTAAGCTCCATGATTTCAAATACACACATATGTGGTAATGGTCTCCTGAAGATGGCCCTGCATTATAAGTGATTTTACAGTGTCATCAAACATCTCTTCCAGTGGCTTGAACTTGAACCCTAAACTCTCAATCTTGGAAGTGTTGTAGGTGTAATATGGCCTATCCAACTTCGTGAACCTGATAAATGACACACAACACATGCTTGGTATGAGAAGAACCGGATTTGGACCTAGGAGCACCATTAGTGCTGGCGATCCCGTGAGATTTAGAGTAGGTGCAATTTGTTATAGATAGACAACTACAACATGTCTTTTACATAGTACTATACAGGAGTTAAGGATATCGAAATCCATACTCCTCTACACAATATGCAGTACGGAAAATACTTCAGGGTACTAACTTTGGGGTTTGATTAAAGCTATACAAGTATACCACCTCATATTTCTCATTAGCACTCAAAACAGGAAGATAAAGACCTGCCTTCATGCTAGCCATCAAACAGTTAAAAGATGAACCCATTAAAAATAAATAGTTAAAGATGAAGTGATTTACCCTTTTGGAATAGGATAAGACGGGTATTGGGATGCTAGAAATGACGCTAATTCATAATTCTCCATAACAGTGGAGCTACAAAGGTATCGACCACGCGCTTCTTTATGCTCAAAAACCAAGATGTGGCACAGAGCTATGTCGTCAATGTGAACATATCCCATCCTTCCATGAAACTCAAACTTGCTTGTTTCCCCTGTTAGTTATTTGAGTAGTTAGGAGCTAATAACATGATAAGTAGAAACAAATGACTGGCAAATACTACTTTTCCTCTCAGAAGAGCAAGTGGAATGAGGAAAACGTTCTTAAGAAATAAACAATAATATATGGTTTCTGTGAATGATTCGCGACAATATAGTCTACAGATGTCCAGATACCTTTAAACAAGCCAAGAACATCAGAGGCAGTAGAGCAAAGATTAGGAGGAAGACTAGGTCCAATTATAAAAGCAGGAAGGATAGTCACTAAATCGATGTTGTTCTCCTTGCAGAAGTTCCATGCTGCTTTCTCTGCCTCGATTTTTGACAGTGCATACCATACCTATATTCATGCGGAAACACGTCATTTATTTGCAAACTAACACAGTTCAGTTGTAATATTGAATATAGAAATCACTATTTATGATGGAATTCTTGTTGTTCACTTTACAAACAACAGTTTCATAGTCAATGAAATGAAAATAATATAATTAACAGCATGAGAAACATTATGAGACCTGGAATTGTTCACAAACTTCAGTGGAGCTCCAAACTGATTCATCAAGTGGAACATCAGGATCAATATCCACTCTTATTCTAACAGTTGAAGAAGATGAGGTAAGAACCACACGTCTTAGTGATGGGTTCTTCTTGCATGACTGAAGCACATTCAGTGTTCCCTTTATTGCAGGTTCCAGAATTTCTGCCTGATTATTTTTACAAGAATTTACTCCCAATAATTAAATAGTCCTAAAATTATATATTGAGAAAACTTCTAAATGTAAATTGCAGGCACAATTGATAGTAAACTCCCATTACTCGTATAACAAGTATAAAAAATACAGTAATTAACAAGTAACATTAATATATCAAGTATAACAGTATAAAAATTAATGTAAAATCTTTTGGAGCTGAGTAATCACCTTTGGATCTTTCTTGGATCCTGAAACAGGGGAAGCAGTGTGAAATACACCTTCACAACCATTAACTGCTTCATCAAAGCTTCCCTCTTCCATTAAATCAGCCTTTACTAATTTCAGCCTCTCTTTTGCCCCATCAAGCCTCCACAAATGCTCCACTTTTTTCTTATCACCTATTATTTCACATATTAATTCATTATTAGTAGAGCCCCATAATCATTATATAGAATACATTATAAGAAAAAATTATCCTTAGTCCATACAAATCATCTAACACTTAGTTTAGCACAAAGTGAAGAAGAGCATAGAAAATTGGATGAACCTGGGTCCCTGACTGTTCCAGTGACGAAATAGCCGGACGAAAGGAGGCGCTTGACCAGCCAAGAGGCTAAATACCCTGAGGCCCCTGTTACACAAACCTTGCCTTTGATCTCGAGCTTTTTCTGGTCCATATTTTGTGCTAAATACTATGCTTTTTTACTAAACCAGATATTAGCTTGTGTGTATATATATCATGGGCTGATCCATCATCCTCATCCCAATCTTTTACATAGGTTTGGGATGGATAAAAAGGATGGTGAAACACGATATGCTCGTGACAAACTGTCATTAGTTTCGTAATAGAAATTAAGCAGAAAATGAATGAAAGGCGGAGTTTGGTGACTGAACATCATTCATGCAATATCTGTGTTAGAAGCTTTTTGATATGCTTCATGCAGAAGTTTTTTCGGATATGATTCTTGTGCAGATAATGATATAAACCATTCTACCCTAGTATTCATTTTGAATCTGCATATACCAATGTTCCACAATTCCAAAGTTTAGTTTCTCTTTATTAGTATATACCAATCAAACATTTCGAACCCGAAACATCCACAATTCCAAAGTTTAGCTTTCTACAGTTTTCATTGAAAGGATCACAATGGTAATGGAATAAACATATTAATACTCTAGAAGGGGGGGTTGAATAGAGTATGGGCGTTTTTTGCAAAACAGAAAATGTCAAGGCCTTGAGATCAGTTACAGGGTGGAATAAACTGATCTCTGTTTTACAAATCAAGACTTTGAAAACTATTTAAAGTAAAACAGTTAGTAAGCAGAAGGTTATAAACGTTTGTTTTGGATTTTGTTAAAACTGTTTAAAACAAAGAACGAAAGCAAGAATAAGGCAAAAATAAAAACAGAAATAAACACAAGGAATTGTTACGAAGTTCAGCACAAAGGCCTACGTCTCCGCCTAGGGTTGTCCAACCCGTAGGATTTTAACCAACTTTTATTTCTTCCCTTAGAGTTCTAAAGCAACCTAGAAGATCTCACTATCTTCTCTCCGTAGTACTTCCCACTACACCTTAAACACTCAAATCCTAGAAATAAAAGCTAACACACTCAAACAACTTCGAGTATTATAATTTTACTACGAAGTGTATCACTCAAGTATTACAAAGTTTAGCACAAGTGAACACTCGTATTTTTCCCTCACTTTTAAGTAATGAAAAGTAGTAAACAATGAGAGAATTAAAGCTCTTAGAATAGCACAAGACTTCTTGAAAAACTTGGATAATGAAACCGGTTGATCTTCATGCTATTTATAAGGCTTTGAAGCTGACTTTAAAACGTTGCCAGCAGTCTCTGGGTCTTCAACAAACTCCAGAAATTTCGAAGCTTTCAAATTCAAACTTCAAAGCTGCTTTTAAATTCAACGTTTATCTTCCAGCTAGAAATCTGTTACAGCATACTTAGCTTCCTAAAAACCAGGTCAGCAAGCACAAGTAACAACAATATTTATCTTAAACATAAATCTTATCATATTCAGAAAAATTCAACAACCAAATAAGATAAATAATAAGCTAGATAAATAAATACATTTGACAGAAAATACTATCTTAGAAACATAAAGATAAAATCAGTTACTTAAAGAATAATAAAAACATAAACATGCTTATAGCAGAATATACGAATAGGTTAGCATACTTAGCAGGATATATTCGAATATAATTTGACAGAATCATAAAATAAGCTAAGATAAATAAACTAAACATATTAGCATATTAAATAAACATTGACTATTCATTTTGACTTCCATCATCCAATATAAAACTAAGTAGGAATATAAACGAAACAACAAGGGAAACAACAAGGTGGAGTCATCAATCTCCCCCTTGATGGAAGTCAAAACCTGTGACAAATAATAAAGAGAACAAGTATGATTAGAGTAAGATAACATAAGGAGCATAAATAATAACCATCATTCAAAAACATTAATCATATATATACCAAAAACTTTCCAAAAACTAACACACACAAACACAGATGTTCTCCCCCTTTTTGACATCCAATCAAGGGAGAAAATGTCTGGAACAAAGGTTGAAAAACAACTAAAAAACATAAGTTCAAAGTTATTACAGACCAAAAGAAGCAAAATAACTTCTTAAAAAACATCAAGGCCTTGAAAATCAGAAATAAGCCTTGAGTCCTGCAACTCCCCTGCTCAACCAGCCAACTGAGCACTGATTTCATCAAGCTTCCTCTCAACATCTGCAAACAGGGAGTACATGGACTGGCGAAGATCCTCCATGCCAAATTCCAGAGCTTGAAGTTTTGAAGCAGGAACAGGAATATCAGCTTTGGGTTTATAGGCAGAGGGAATGGCAGCAAGGTCTTCATCAGAGAGGTCTGAGATGAACTTCCATGTATCCCTTCCAACCCTGAAAATTCCGATTTTGTTGAAGAGTTCCAGGCCCACACTAGGAGTAGTAAGACGATCTACTTCCTCTGTGTCAACTGGAACATCAAAAAATTTGAAGATCTTTGGCAAAAGGTTAGCATAGGGAAGGGTAGCAAGACGAGTAGAGTTGTAGATGTGAGACATATATGTGAGAATAATGGAGGGCAGATCAAGAGGATAGCCATTGAACAGCAAATACAGAATTTCAAGGCATTGATCAGTCAATAATTCCCTTGAATTAGATCTGGGCATAATAGTTCGAGTCAGAAATTGGAAAATGATCTTAGGTTCAAGATCAAGAGAAGAGTGAGTGAGCTGCTTTGAGGTAGGAGTATTAGGCAAAAGAAATTGAGTCCTAGCAGCAGTAATACAAGAAAGACGAGAAGGAAAGGACTTATCATACACAACAGGAGCAACCCCCAAAATTTCTGCCAGAATCTGATTAGTTAATCTAATTTTGATTCCTTTAACAATTGACTCAATTGAAGGCCCCTCACTAGAATTAACAAGAGTCATATTAAGATAAAATAAAAGAGTGAGACGAGGGTATGCAAAATTAGGCAGAGAAGCAAGATGAACAAGAGAAGACTCACGAAATAGCTTGAAACATCGAAGCGATGAGGAATTGACAAGATCCATAGCAATTGGTTCACAAGAACAAATCTTGCGAGAGTGATACCCATCCTTCAATTTACCAAGGGTTGTGAAATTCTTGAACCATGAAGGAGGGAGAGAGGATGGAACTTCAAAAGTGTATTCTTGAGAAGCCGAAGCTTGAGATTTCTCAGGAAATTTGACAGGAATGGCTTTCGATGGGGTTTCCTCTTCTCGAATTGGTGAATGAGAAGATGCCGATTGTGAAGGTTCAGAGTATGGAACTTGCTTTGGAGCTTTCTTTTGAGCTTTGGCTTGTTTCTTTTTCTAAGCAAGTTTAATGGCGACATGCTTTCTTTTGGGCGCCATGAAGAAAGGGAAAAAAGAATAATGGAAGAGTGTAGAAGAGGAGAAGACAGAGGTAGCAGAGGAGAGAAAGAGTGAAATCTTTTTGGCGGATGAGAGAGAAGGAGTGAATGCAGGCAAGTATTTATAGGTACGGGATAGTAAAAGATTTTTCAAAACAGATTAAAAAGATAAAAAGGTGAAAAGGTGCGACTGTTTAAAAATCAAATAGATTAAATGAATGTACGAGTTTTGAAAACGTTTTCAAAAGAAATAATAAATAAGTACATTGAATGAGAATTCACGAGAATAATCACCAAGTATTGTTCCAGATTTATTTATTTATTTTTCGGCAGTTTTACTTCAAGGCCTTGAAATATAGTTCAGGGCTCTGAAGTAATTTGCACTTAACACAAAAACAAATACTTAAAGCAATTAAATAAATTAAGTAACGTACCTTGGCTCCCCCTACGAAGTTGCATCCTTATTTAGTATTCCCAACTCAAGCCGTATAAAATTAAATCTTTCTTCACTCAAAGGCTTGGTAAATATGTCAGCAATTTGAAAATTTGTAGGAATGAAAGAGATAGAAATGTCACCTTTCTCCACATGATCTCTTAAGAAATGATGTCGAACATCAATATGTTTGGTTCGAGAGTGCTGCACAGGATTCTTAGCAATTGATATAGCACTGGTATTATCACACTTTAAAGGTATTCCTGTATAATTAAGGCCCAAATCTTTAAGCTGTTGAGATATCCACAATATTTGTGAACAACAAGCACCGGCTGCAATGTATTCAGCTTCTGCAGTTGATAAAGCTACGGAATTTTGTTTCTTAGAGTGCCAACTTATGAGAGATGATCCAAGAAATTGGCAGCAACCTGAAGTACTTTTCCTGTCTACTTTATAACCTGCAAAATCAGCATCCGAATACCCAACAAGCTCAAAGTTGCTATTTTTAGGATACCAAAGACCAAAGTCCTTAGTTCCATTTAGATACCTTAAAATACGTTTAACAGCACTTAAGTGTGATTCCTTAGGATCAGCTTGAAAACGTGCACACATACAAACACTAAACATAATATCAGGTCGACTTGCTGTTAAATAAAGAAGAGATCCAATTATACCTCGATATTGCTTTTGATTTACTGATTTACCATTCTCATCTTTGTCTAAAGATAGTGATGAACTCATAGGAGTTTTTGCTTCTTTGGATTGTAGCATATCATATTTCTTAAGGAGCTCTCTAGTATATTTGCCTTGATTCACAAAGATGCCTCCTTTATCTTGTTGATTTGCAATCCAAGAAAGAAATTGAGTTCACCCATTAAGCTCATTTCGAATTCCCTGCACATTATATCAGAAAATTCCTTGCAAAGGGAATCATTAGTAGCACCGAACAAAATGTCATCAACATAAATTTGCACAATCAGTAAGTCACTTGCTTTGATTTTAACAAACAGAGTTTTGTCAACTTGACCACGTTTAAAACCGTTTTCCAAAAGATATTTTGATAAACGTTCATACCAAGCCCTTGGGGCTTGTTTCAGACCGTATAAAGCTTTATCAAGTTTGTAAACATGGTCAGGAAAAGATTCATTTTCAGAACCAGGAGGTTGTTCTACATAAACTTCCTCTTTTAGAAAACCATTTAAAAAGGCACATTTTACATCCATTTGAAATAGTTTGATACGCATAAAGGATGCAAAAGCAAGTAAAATTCTGATTGCTTCCATACGTGCAACTGGTGCAAAAGTTTCCTCATAATCAATACCTTCTTCTTGATTGTAGCCTTGAGCTACTAACCTTGCCTTATTTCGAGCAATTTTACCATTTTCATCCAACTTGTTTCTGAAAACCCATCTTGTTCCAATTATTGATTTTCCTTTGGGCCTTGAAGTCAAATTCCAGACTTTGTTTCTCTCGAACTCATTTAGCTCACTTTGCAT